CAGACGCTCAATTTTGGGAAGTGGCCCATGAAAATGATCATTTCCCCTTCACATGTGGACGGCCAAAGATCTAACGCAAGTTAGTGATTTGCCTAATAGCTGGAAATCAGGGAGCCATGTGACATACTTGAATACCCCAATTTAAACTATCATGAGCCAAATTCCACCGAGCGTTTTGCACATTACATATTTGGAAAGCTTTTGGAATAGACTGTCATGAATCCAAGAGACTTTCCTGATTTTCAGAATAGGAAAGAATTGGTGAAGAGTTAAAGGAAGAAGAGGGGCATGAAGTAATTTCTTTCTTTTATAAAAATAATCTAGTTTAAAAAAATCTGTTTTTTTATTATTAATTAGAAAACAACAGATACTTGGATTTTAAAAATACTATTCCCTTTTTTTTTTTCTTTGCACAATCACAGTTTTGAATAGCAAAATCCTACCTTGAATCTGCAGCTTCCATTACCTATTGGAATAAAACTAGTTAAAATTCATTCAGACCTTCCATGTTCTGCATTCATTTTCAATTCACTTTGCGCTTTGACTACTTGGGTTAATATTTCTAATATAAAACCAGAATTGCCACAATAAAGCCAGCTTGCAGCAAACAAACCAGGAAAGTAGCTTTTTAAGAATAAATTAGTCTGCACTGATAGTAGAAGTGTTAATCTGAAAGAAAACAAGACATGCATATCATCTTACTTCCTGTGATTTAGACGCACCTTATCACGGGCAGTTCTTTTACCCTGCAACCACAGGTGAGACATACTTTATATACGCAGCACAATTTTTCCAAGCTTCTTTATGGCATGTTATAAAATCATTGCATTAGCCTTGGATAGTTTGCAGTTTTGGACAGTTTTTTGAAAAGATGGCTCAGATTTTGGGGAGACCCTTCTAGGAAAAAAAATGAGTGTTGAAATAATTAGCTATCATTAATTGTATATGAAAAACTCATCTCCTTCAAAGCCTCTGTGGTGGCGGTAAGATTTCAGAGCAAGACTTGGGAAGGGAAGAGGTTATTTTGGATTACCCGTCCCCCCACTTAATTCAATTTTCACCTCTGCAAAAAATGTCCATTTCAGCTCTTCTCAGGTGTTATTTTTTTATAAAAAACAACACAGTCTAAGACTTTTGTTGCAAATGTAATTGAATGGGGCTAAACAACATATTTGAAAGCCTAGTTGACCTCTCTAGATGACTTCTTGTCACAGAATCATAGGCATTAACATCTGCAAAGACTGAATGAGTCACCTTACCCATATAGCAAAGTTAAAAAAAAAAAAAGCAAAATTCAAACATTTTACCTTCTACCCTCAAAACCAGAAGTGCTCCTTTAATGCAATGAGATACATAATTATTCTTTATTTAAAACATGAGTTCTCTCTCTCTCTCATTATTTCCTTTTTCTTTGTTATTTTGCAATATTAATCTTAGACAATGTAGGCTCACACCAGAAAAGGCGAGATCTGGCCCTCATGTAAAGTGGCAGGCTTCCCTCGACACACCACTGCACACCCATCAGGTACAATTTCAGAGGAAAAAGCAATATTCAAAACAACATAAGACTTTGCAACAGTAACATGCAGTTCACTTGAAAATGTACTGAATTTCTCTGTTGTCATAGCAACTCATCCTTAGCATGTTCAAGAAGCACAATGGAGAGTTCTATCACTAACGTTGTTCCCAATGTGTAGAAAACAATAAAAGGAAAGTTGTTTTTTCCCCGTATTAAAGGTTAAACACCACATACATTACTTTGCTTATTAATCATCATCTTCATCTCCCCACTTTTATTTACTTGACCCACTGACACCTACTGGGCAGAGAAATCAACAGCTTTGTTCCCTGCTGCTCTGCCTCCTCAAGACTGACACCTCTGCTGCTCATTAATGATCAGCATTGTCTCCACAACAACAGATTCCTCTTAGCATGGTCTGCTTTGCCTATGCAAATGCAGATATAAATAGTGAATGAATAATGTAATAATGGAGAGCAATGTTGTCTTCAGGTTCCAGTATAAACACCATAATATTGGTGAGAAACATACTTCTTAGCCTAGGTAGAGCTGATATATGTCTATGATGCATATCAACTGGGGGTACGCATACCCCGGGGGTACTTTGGAAGGGCCCAGGGGGTACGCAGCAGCGGCGTGGAGAAGCCAGCAGAAGTTCTGGTTTTGGCAGTGGCACTTTCGCTGCCACCCGCTGCGCAGGGGATCCCCCCCGCACTCATCGACTGGCTGCTGGGTGACCCCCCCACTCCTGCCTTGTTGACCAGACGCCATGGGACTCCCCGCTTCTCAACCAGCCGCCAGGGGTACCCTGACCAAAAAAAGTTGAAAACCTAGGCATATATCCACCCAAAGACCCTGCAGTTGGGCAGATCATGTACCTATTTCCTTAAAAGAGGATGCCAGCAACATGAAAACAATGCAGTAAGTTGACTGAAGTCCATGGCAAAGCTTAGTTCAGGAAAACCGGAATTGTTCCAAGGACAGTTAAACCTCACCTAACAGCTCTGCAAGCAGGCTGTATCTAGAAGTTCAGTCTGGATGAGACCAACAGTGAAACCCTCATTGACCTCTACAGGGTCAGAATTTGACCGCTATAATTCCTCTGTTAAATCTCTTCCACTTGTCCCTGTCAGGTGCTGCATCTGCCTGATGGGATGAACACTGACATTGCAGAAGAAAACCTCTCCTCTTCCTTTTTCGAACGGGACCTCAGAGCCAGTGTAGCCTGAGGCACTGGAAATACCATCTCCTTTGGAGCACTAATACCATCATCTGGACTGGACAGTTCACCCTGCCATAAGTAAGAGGCTCTTCTTCCCTTGCGGCAATGGCATAAAGCTCTTCTCCAGATATCAACATGATGATCTACTTTTCACTGGTCAAGGGGCAAGCCAGCTTAAATCCCTCCTCAGGCACTTACTTATTAGGCTGCCTTGTTCATAATGATTTCTGTAAAATAGGATGCAAAAGAACTGGAGATTGCATTGAAGGATATACAAACAAGTAACAAAATGCCTGGCCTGGACAACTATTATACGCTGGTCTTTGATTTCAAGAGTAAAGTGCGTTGTTGCCTTTGTGCTCCTATCCGACTCCAGAAGAACCTGGGCTGCGGACTAGAAGCTTTAGCATAGCTCAGTACTAAAGTTACAACTGAGTCCAAGTGGGGATACATACACAAAGAGTACCTAGACATTACTCACTGAACACTAAACTATCCAAATGTCAAGGGATTTGGATAAATCTAGTTGTCTGTTAATCTTTAATAAGTAAAAAAAAAAAAAATCCAGCAAATGTAAAATGAAGGTTTTCCCCCAATTTTTTTGTCTGCCAAAATATTCCTCACCATTGTGGCCTCTTTTTTACTATGTTTTTATTCTTTAACCGTGATATAATTATACTGGCTGTGGAATCTTCACCAACTTTTCCCATTGGATATGCTTTAATTATTGGAGGTTTGATCATTTTGAATGGCAGAAGCCCATTTTTAACCCCAGCAAGAGCCAAGTATTTTAACGAGACTATTTTAACCATAATTTAGTGAAAGCTCAAAATGTATTATCAGAGAGCGCAGTAACTATGGAAACAAAACAAAACCGAAAAACAAAAGAAAACAAAAACACCCAGAAAAATATACCCCAAACTGCAGATTATTTAAAGACTGAAAAGCTCTGACCAAAGCATTCAATGAAATAAGTACTGTACGCAGGTTCAGCCCCAGGTATTGTGTTGCTAGCAACCAATTTCAGTATAGGGAGGCCCATCACCTTCCTTGTGCAGTTTCTCTCTTCTTTTGAAAGCATCTACTAGGGTATTTGGGGAGGTGTTTTTGCATTAAGTTTTCAATTAAATAGAAATATGTTTGACCATTCTCCTTTTGCTCTTGCTTTTTCTCATTCTTATAGTCTCCTATTTTGGTCCATCTTTTCTCATATCTTTTTTATTGCATATTCTCACTCAATTCTTATTTGTCTATGGTTTCAATTAAGAACAAATGAATAATGAACTTCCCCTTTAATGGGAAAAGACAAAAGTGACATACTTAGTGACAAGAGAACAATTATATTGGAACATACCTTACCCCTTAGATTCCCAAGGATTTGTGTGACCTGCACAGATATTTTTCATTCTTGATTTACAAACCTTTTAGTGAATTGCATCCTGACCAATGAAAATTAATAATGGCCAGAGACAAAATTAAAACAGGCAAAAGAAAACAAAGTGTCACATACAGTAGCTGCAACCATAGAGAGTTTATATTTGTGAGTGTGATTTTACTATTGTGGAACATGACACCATCAATAAGAGAGGAGTAGCAAAAGAAAAGTGCAAAATATCAATGAAAATGATTTGTTATTTCAGTCTCAGATAATGGCTTTCAATTCAACTTAAATATAAACATCTAAAAGCAGTCCTGTTTGCATTGCCAATTTCTAATATGCAAATATGGAAAAAAAAATGTTTTAGAAAAATGGACAACTTTTTTTCTTGTCAGAACTGTAAAGGACTGCAAATCAGTGCCAGCTAAAGAACAGCAGAATGTTTTTTGGAATTACTGCCTTCTCATCCCATTTCTCCCATAGGCATTCTTTCCCCCATTGAGTATATCATATCTACTGGTCGGAGCGCTTCATTCAGCAGTAGCATATGCTTTTCTCTATTGCATGTAACAATGCTCATGCCATGTCCAAAGATACATGTTTTTACTTTAACATATCAAATTCTTTACAACTGAATTATCATATTGGCATCCAACCATGAAACACATTTTATAACCTACAACTTAGCAAAATTATGATTAAGGGAGTATTCAAATATTCACTTCATGATAAATTGCATTTGTTATCATGTTAGCATCATGTCAGTGTTCCCAAATGTGTGCCAAACCTCCTTCTGTTGTGTCATGGCTTGTGTATTAACTTCTCTACAGAGACATATTAGGGCAGCTCTGCACTCTGGACAGATTTAGTGCATGGAACAGCCGTGGTGTGGTCATCCACCAGCTGTGGCATGGGCTATTTTTGACCCCCCCCCCCCAATTCCATTTTTTTTAGCTTATTAGCCATTACAGATATTACAGAAGAGGGGACTGTGAATAAAACTGCCTTGTTTAGTTCCAGTCTTCCAAAGCACTTATTATTAAGCCTGCTGTATATAGGAGCTGGAAGGATCAGGGCCTGAAAGTAAAACCATTTTGCCTAGTGACCTGTGGTTTTCAAAGGCTAGGGACAGACATTCAAAAAGCCTGAGCCTGAATTGATTCTAACTTTGCTTCAATCTTTTCATTTCATCAATGCTGGCACATGCCTGCAGTGGCTCAAGCTTGAAGCTGGGGAGCACTAGAGCAGCCCTCCCTTCCCTTCCCTTCCACAGTACTGAGCTGAGGTGGGGTGTGGCCAGGCCCCAGCAGGATGCTCTGATTAGGCCCCCCCTCCTCCCCCTAAGCAGGGAGTTGATAACACAGTGTTTATCACCCCTAACTCAGTGTTTATCCTCCTATTAAGAAAACAAAAGCTTCTCTCATTAGTTCAAGCTCTTCTTAGACAACTTTGTACAAGCAAGGAACAGGGGCGCATTACCAGCTACCTGTTGATTAGCTCCAAAAATCCCTAAGTAAACACTGACCTGTTTGCCTTTGCCGGTCTCCTGCAGCATGGACCGTAGCCAGCATGTGCTCTGCTAGCTAATGCTGAGAGGTGTCTGTGTAAGGCAGAAGGGAGGGGGAAT